TCTCACACTGGGCCAACTTCCCATGGTTCTGAGTGGCGGTTGTTTACTTCATAGTTGATAGTTTCAGTGATGCTGTGAGAGAGCAGCACACACAGGTCCGCTCCCTACGCCGCCATCTTGGTTCTCCTCCATATTTTCTTATCCATTCAGTTACCCTATGTCTTTTCATTGGGGCACTTAATCCATTTCATTTAAAGTTATTATTGATAGGTACTTGTTTGTCACCATTTTATTCTTCATGCCTGTGTTCCTTCTTCCCTTCCTATTTCTTCTTTTGACAGCAGACCCTTTAGCGTTGCTTGCATTGCTGATTTGGTGGTAATAAACTCCCTTAGTTCTTTTTTGTCTGTGAAGCTCCTGATTTCACCCTCAACTTTGATTGATAGCCTTGCTGGGTACAGTATTCTTGGATTCAGACCCTTGCTTTGCATGACTTTGTATATTTCATTCCATTCCCTTCTGGCCTGATGTGTTTCTGTTGAGAAATCAGTTGATAGTCTGATGGGAGATCCCTTGTAGGTAACTTTCTGTGTCTCTCTGGCAGCCTTTAAAATTCTTACTTTGCCATTGGTGTTTGCCAATTTAATTATCATGTGTCTTTGTGTAGGTCTTTTTGGGTTCATCTTGTTTGGGACTCTGTGAGCTTCTTGGACTTGTGTGAGTTTTTCCCAACATCAGGGAAGTTTTCTGTCATTATTTCTTCAAACAGGTTTTCTATTCCTTGCTCAGTTTCCTCTCCTTGTGATACCCCTCTTATGCGGATGTTGTTTCATTTCATGTTGTCCCAGGTTCCCTTAGGCTCTCCTCCTGTTTTTTAAGTTTTTTTTTTCCAGTTGCTGCTCTGCTTGGATATTTTTTTTCTTGTCTTCTAGCTCACTGATGCAGTCCTCCTCTTCTTCTAGTCTACTGTAGATGCTTTCTATTGTGTTCTTTATTGCAGAAATGTTATTCTTTGTTTTGTCTTGGTTCTTCTTCATTTCCTCTTGATTCTTACACATATTATTTAATTTGTCTTCCATCCTTTTCAGCGTCCTTATGACCATTGCTCTGAATTTTTTTCTCTGACAAATTGCTTGCCTCCATTTCATTTACTTCATTTTCTGGTGATTCCTCTTTTCTTTTGTATGGGAGCTGTTTCTTTGTCTCCCCATGTTCACTCCTCTCAGGGTGTCTGGTTATGGTGTTCTCTCTCTCCTGCATTGACTTAAAGGCACAAAGTACAACACAGAAAGACACAGCACACAGGAAACCAAACACAAATGGACTCACCATACCAATAACCCTAAATAAAGATGACCACCAGAGAACAGAGAATTACTGGAGCGAAAAGAGTGCAAAAATGATATTGAGAAAAGGAAAAAATGTAAGAGAGAAAGGAAAGAGAAGAAAAAAGAAGGGGAAAAATATATGTATATGGGGAGAACACTCCAAAAAATCAACAACTAATCCAAAAAATGCAAACAACAAACACTCAAACAACAAATACCCAGATGAATATGAAGAGGCAGAGCTTACTTCTCTCTCTAGGTCAGTGGTTTGCAACCTTGGCTGCACATTAGAATCACCTGGGAATCTTTTTAAAATCTGATTTCTGGGCTCATCTCTGAATTCTGTTCTTGTATGGGTGGGGCACACATAGTACAAAGTAAATGCCGTCAGAGCGGCGAAATCAGATTTTAAAAAGATTCCAGGTGATTTTAATGTGCAGCCAAGATTGAGAACTACTGCTCTAGGAGGTGGTCTTGACCTTTTGTCCACAGATTACCTCTCCAGCTGTGTTTAATTCTCTAATTCCGGGTAGGTGTTATTCGATGCAGCTGTTCCTTCCATCTGCTCTGTGAAAAGGCGCAGGACCGCTCTGTGTATTGGCCGCCACCTTGCCTTCCCCTGGATAAACTTTTTAGGTGCCTCTGGCCAAGGAGGCTGAAGTCCAGTGTTCTGGGCTTCGCATTTGAAGCAGCTGGTCCCTGGGCATTGTGGTTATAGCGTCCCGGGAGGTATCTGAGGTCTCCCCAGTTGAAGGTAAGGCTGGGCTTCCAATCACAGCCACCCTTCCCTACAAGAGATCATGGTCTCTGTGGCAGAGCCCACGGCTCTGGGAGAGATTTCAGCAGGAGTAGAGGCTGCCCAGCCTGGGGAGCCCGGTCCACCAGTCCCCAACAGTCCCATGGAACATAGCTGTCCCTCCCTCCCTCACACACACAGACACTCCTGCACGTCCACGCCCTCTCCTTCTGCTCTCTCACTCACACACTATCTTGCAGCCTGCCTTCCCTTTGGCTGCCATCTTGGATTTTGAAGATGTTTATGTTTTTAAAATGAATAAACTCTCGCAAGGACTGACGTCGTGTCAGGGACTTTAGAGCATTAACTTCATGCTCTGCCAATGAGGACACTGAGGACAGAAGGGCAACGTCACTGGTTCAAGGTCACAGAGCTGCTCAGGAAGAGGACCCAGAATGTGACCCCATGACCTCCAGCCCCAAAGGTCACCTTCTGAGGCAGCAGGTTAAGCCGCTGATGAGATGCTGATACATGGGGAGGTGGGTAGAGAGGAGACTCCGATGACTGTATGTACATTATACTCCAACTGTTCCCATGTGAGAGCCAGACATGAGGACACTAGTCTATGTGATGAGAAGAGTTCTGGGCACTTTGGGAAGAGAAATGTAATTTCCCCTCCCAAGAGACCCTACGCTTCTTCGGGTCAGCAACTGAGGCTTTCCCTCCACAGGCCCCTTCTTCTCCAACACAAAACCCTGGCAGGTGGCCGTGTGGGTGACCCTTCTGGCTCTGCTGGGGCTCCTGGCTGGGGCAGTGTTCACATGGTGTCGACAGCAGAAGAGAATCTGGGTCCTGAGTCAGGAGAAGGAGAGGGAGGAAGCTGAGAAGCAGCAGGAGTGGAGTGCCAAAGGTGAGGCCTGGCTGCAGGTGGGTGGGATCCACACCCCAGGCAACCCACCCACCACGCGGGTTCCCGCTTCCATCCCCATGACAGCACCTTCTCTTTCTGTTTATTTCCAGAGAAGCTGCTTGAGGAGCTCAGTAAGTCCCCATCCCCCGGCCACGCGGGTTCTGGGGTACCTGGTTGCCTCCTCACCGACCCCTCCCATTTCCCCTGCAGGGTGGTGGATGCAGCAGTACCTGGCTCGTGAGTACCTGGACCCGCATCTAAGACTCTCTGCTGGGATATGTCCAGCCCCTTCCTCACCCCTGAACGCCCAGGGCAGTGGTCGGCAAACCGCGGCTCGCAAGCCACATGCGGCTCTTTGGCCCCCTGAGTGTGGCTCTTCCACAAAATACCACGTGGGCGTGCATGTACAGTGCGATTGAAACTTTGTGGCTCATGCGCAGAAGTTGGTTTTTGCCCTGGGCGAGTCTATTTTGAAGAAGTGGCCTTAGAAGAAGTGGGGGGTGTCGGTCAAGCGACAGGAGACGCGGCGCAGGCCACAGGATACACAGTGCGGGGGAGGCGCAGGTGATTCATGCACGAGTTGAGTGAGCCAGTCAGTCAGCAGTCTCATTGTGCAGTGGTTAGTGCTGGTTGCGTCCACAAATAACGCGCGGGTGACAAAAGTAAAGTTTATTAAGTTAATTTTAGGGAACATTGTGGCGTGAAAGAAAATGTAGTGTCGAGGATTCAGAAAGGTACGTTGAGATGGTGTGGACATATAGACAGGATGAACGAAAGGAGATAGACGAAACAAGTATACAAGACGAGTGTGAGTGGGAAAGTTGGAAGGGGTCGACAGCGAACGTACCTCAATCAGATTGAGGATGTTTTTAGCAAAGGTCAGCTTAGGAGTACCCTCATTAAGTTAATAACAATGTACCTACCTATATAGTTTAAGTTTAAAAAATTTGACTGTCAAAAGAAATTTCAGTCGTTGTACTGTTGATAATTGGCTCTGTTGACTAATGAGTTTGCCGACCGCTGGCCCAGGGGAAGGAATGAGGACGCTGATGGGGGAGGTCAGGCAGGGTTTCCTCCCTGGAGAAAGGGGTCAGGCTCTCTCCACCAGGCCGCTCGCACCCGGATGTCCAGGGAACCCCAGAAAGGAGAGGGGAGATGGATTCATGACGAGAGTCCTTTCTCCCTGGCTGCTCTACACAATCTATAGGCTGCGGAGAGGAAACCAGAAGGAGAAAGAACATTCTCTTCTAAGGAGGAGGGGCTGGTGTCAGCTGTCCCAGATTTATCATAACTGCTGAAAAGTCGTGTCTGAAATTTTCTCATTAAGTCACCCCAATTCTTTTTGGAAATAGGCAGGATATCATGCAGATTGAGGTGGATGGGTTCTAGCACACATATGCATACACATGTGCACACGGCAAGCCTATGCCAGGTACATGAGGAAGACAGTCACCTCGTATGCCAGGGGCATGGGATCCATGACCCAGTGGGTGCCTGGCCCACGGATAGCACCACACCCTGTGTATAGGAGGTTTCTCCTTCTCATGTAAAGGAAGGCTTCTCATTGCCACACCCCAATGGGTCATTGCAATGATGGGTCATTGTTAAGTAACATCAGGGGGACTTTCACACAAGCCCTGTGATGCTGAGGCAGATCTGACCACAGAGCCGGCTCCTCAGTGACTAAGTGGCTCATGGGAGGAACACAGGGTGGACATGCTGGGCACAGGGATGGTTCTCAGGTTGGCATGTGAGAGACGGATGGCACAGGTGTCATCACACTACTGGAATGATGTGCAATTTAAAACTTATGAATTGCTTATTTCTGGAATTTTCCATGTAATTTTTTCCAACTGTGGGTGACAGAGAGTAACTGAAACTTCAGAAAGTGAAACGATGGTTAAAGGTGACTGCTGTACAGACACGTACAGGACAGACCTGCAGGTGCAGCTGGGAAAGCCCCACTCGGTACCTGCAGGTCACTAGGTGCCGGTGAGTTTAAAGAGGAGGGGGGAGCAGGGAACTGAACGGGCAGAGGGAGAGGGAGGTGGGGGTCAAAAGGAAGAGGGAGGGAAGGACTCAGAAATGACAGGTGAGGTGACCCTGCCTGTCTTCCTTTGCAGGTGATAAGTATCTGGCCTATGCTGGTGAGTGACTCATGCTCTCTGGTTCCTGCACTTGTGTACAAAGCCCTTCAACCCTTTCTGTGCTGATGAGGGGTCATCAGACCCTGCTCAGAGCTCATATTCTGAGGAGGACCACCCTGCCTCTCAGGACCCCCAGAGAGGACCTCCCAGCTCCAGCGTCCCCTCACCTGCTGCCACACACACCCACACCTGGGCACAGCCTGGCACCGTCACCCACAGCCCCACCGTGATGGAGGGAAGGCCACATTCTGAGAGCTTCTGTGCCTCCTCCTCAGAGCTGTGGAGGAAGGAAACTAGATATTGGTGGGAAGGAGAGGGAAAAGGCTCAGTGAGGAGGATGGTGGGGGGAGAACAGAAATGATGACCTTTCCTTGCCTGTGTCTCCTTCCTTTCAGAGTGGAAGATGGCCCTTTACCAACCTGGTGAGTGAGTCACTGTGTTCCCTGGGACAACAACTCAGTGGCCTGGCTCCCTCTTTCTTCTCCAGCTCTTGACAGGGAGACTTTTGGGGGTGTGTGGCATGAGCTCCCCACAGTGTTCCCATCTGCTGCTAAGAGAGCCAGGGACAGCTGCTGCCCTGGGCTTCCCCAGGTCTGTGTGGGAAGGAGGAGGCATGAGGGGTGGAGCTGGGGGCAGGGGCAGGAGGGAGAGGGAGGAGGTGACCTGGCCCAGCTGCTGCCCCTCCTGCCCTGAGCCTCCTCAAGGTGTGCCATGTCTCTGCGTCCCTTTGAGATGATGGTGGTCATTCCTACCTTGTGAGAGTGGAGGTGAGACTAGACAAGGTGATGAGTGTGTGCTGGTCAAAACTCCAAGAGGGAAGCCATGGCCTGTTCACAATGGGTGTGTGTCTGACGGTAATGACCACAGTCAGGAGAAGGTTCTTAAGTCCTAGAAGTGATGTAGGCGACTCCTTAGATTATAAGAGACTGTATTATAGAGTCATTTACTCACAGGGATGTGGGGTTGGAGCAGACAGACTACATGTCAGTCTGCACAGACTATTCACCAATAACGGACCTGTTGCACTACTTTTTTAACACACAACTCAGGTACTAATGATTTTTTAAAATATGTTTTATTGATTTTCTACAGAGAGGAAAGGAGAGGGATAGAAAGTTAGAAACATCGATGAGAGAGAAACACCGATCAGCTGCCTCCCGCAACCAAGGTACATGCCCTTGACCGGAATCGAACCCGGGACCCCTGAGTCCGCAGGCCGACGCTCTATCCACTGAGCCAAACCGGTTCTGGCAAGGTACTAATGATTGTCAGGACAAAGGGACAAGGAGTGTGGCAGCACCAGCCATACCTCCTGGGGGTCTTGTGGTGGAAGGTTCTTTATAATTGATACCATCACATTTGGTGTTGACCTCCTTGTCCTGTTCTAGTGTTACTAACAGAACTGTTTATGGCTACATTTAAGGACCACAC